CCAATGATGCTTTGATTCTAATCTTGACTTCCTTATTAATCTGTGGGAAAGATTTTGAGTATGTACTGAAATGCTGAAATTTCCTTTTTAATATCCTTGTTAAATATTACACATTCTAATCAGAAGTGTAACTTGTTCACGAGACTATCCTAATGTTTTGTATGACCGCTAATACATTATCAGAAAAAACAAAAGAATTAGAAAAATTGCGGAATGAATGGTCATCGCACACAGCATCATTGGCAAATAAGCATTCCCAGGAGCTAACAAATGAGAAGGAAAAAGCCTTGCAGGTAAGAACATGAAAGGTAACTGCAAAAATAGCGTTTTTAAAAATTGTTCTGGGTTGCCGGGCATGGTGGTGCACGCCTTTAATCCCAGCACGCCGGAGGCAGAGGCAGGGTTAGTGAGTTCAAGGTCAGACTGGTCTACATAGTAAGTTCCAGGCCAGCTCCCCATAGGGAGACCCTGTCTCAAAAAGAGCAAAAAAAAAAAAAAATTGTTGTGGGTTATGGGGCTGGAGAGATGGCTCAAACAGTTAAGAGCACTGGCTGCTCTTGCAGAGGACCTGGGTTCAATTTCCACAACCATATGGCGGCTAACAGTTATCTGTGACTCCAGTTCCTGGGCATCCGATGCTCTCTCTTCTGACCTCCTCAGCATTACACTCATACACATAAAATAAAAATAATAATTTTTCTAAAAAAAATTGTCTGGGTTAGTTCATTAATTATAAAAGTAATAAATGCTTAATTCAAGTTTTTAAAACACAGTGGGGCATGGTGGTGCATGCTTTTAATCCCAGTGCTCGGAAGACAGACAGGTGGATCTCTGTGAGTTCAAGGTTAGCCTGGTCTGCATAGTGAGTTCCAGGTCAGCCAGGGCTACATAGCCAGACCTTCTCTGAATTCAAAAAACAAATCAACAAAAATATTTTTTTCAAACATCAAAGAACAAAATAAAAATTACAAGTTTGTATTTGTTTTTATTTTATATATATAGAGTTTTGTGTATATAGCACCCATACACTTAAAAATAAAGTTTAAAAAATGTAAAATGTTATGTCAAAGAAAGGTGATTATTATTTCCCATGTTCTTTTATACAGAGACCATTCAAGACATTAGTCCATTATCCAACCCAGGGCCTCCTGCGTGCTGGGAAGGCACTCTACCAGTTAACCTACATGCCCAGTCCTTCATTAGCCCATTATTAAATTGGTATGTTAGTATTTTTCTTACTGATTTGTAGGAATTCTTCATGTATTCCAAACATGAGTCCTTTATCGGTCACAGCTGTCTCTCAGTAGCTAAAGGAAGTGATTCCAGGGACCCCCCCCCCTAAGCCTCAAGTAACAAAGGCTCAGAAGTCATTTTTGTTTTGTCTTTTTGATACAGGGTCTCCCCAGTTGGCCTGGCACTGGGCTATGTAGACCAGGCTGGCCTTGATCTCACAGAGATCTGCCTGCCTCTGCCTCTGCCTCTGCCTTTGCCTCTGCCAAGATTAAAGGCATGCACCACCACTCCCCACTTCCAAATTCTCTTAAATGACATCGTATTTACATAAGACCTATGCACATCTTCCCTACTTTAAACCATCTCTAGATTGCTTATAATGCTGATACAATATAAATGCTGTGTAAATAGTTGTTATAATTATTCAGGTAATACTGAACAAGAAAAAATCTGTACATGTTCAGTACAGATAAAACCACATAGTAAAGGAATGAGGCACGGGTGTATGATAACTGTGAGTTTGGAAAAGGACTGAGATCTGAAAACTGGCCAAGGGCTATAGCAGATTGTCTCTCCACACCACTTATGTGGATTCAGCATGGTGTTTGGTATGGGTGTGGAACTTGCTTTTGGAATATTCTGGGGTATCTTTAATCCACTGTCATAACCTGAGGATATGGAGGTCTGATTTTGTGTGTATTGTGAATATCTTCCGTATAAGGCTTATCTTTCACATCTTAACTTTATAAAGGTGTTATTCTTTTTTTTTTCAATT